ATAAGTCAAAAAGTGCACTTTTTTAGGACATCCCAAACCAACCCTTAATCTGCTTAAATTATGGAATTAATTTGAATTAATTTATTTAAATATGAATTGGATCGGTTTAAGACTACGGATTCATGTAATTAAATAATAAAAAATATATAAAATATTTTAATTCCATAAAAATATAAACATAGTATCATATTAGTTCTACAATAACAACATATATTTTCATAATAACGGCATACTATTTTAAAATTTAAACAATCATAAGAAAATTAGTTCCACATAAGTATTTAGATCATTACAAATTAAAACTAAAAACTAACAAATAAAAGTAATAAAAGAAGATACTATGCGAGTTTAGGTTTGAGTTTAGGTTTTATATGGAATAAAAAAAGATACTATGTGGGATGGTGTATAATATAAATATAAGTTATTTTTATACGGTCTGAATTGATTCCAATCCAGAACCGTAGGTTCAATCCGGAACCAATCTGTGGACTATAGATTTTTAATTTTTTAAATCGGAACCGAATCACGGATTCAAAAAATCAATCCAAACCTACCAGATTGGATTGGATTGGATTGGATCGGATTATGAATTTTATAAATTCCTTGCTCAACCCTATATTGAAGTAGGGGTGATCAACAGATACGTCCAAATCGATTGAACTGAATTGATTTGTCGCATTTTGGACGAACGTATAATGATGAGCGGGAGGTTGTAAATTGATTTTTTTCAATTCATCTAGCTTTGGACGGATGACGAATTTGAAATTCCTTTAGTCGCAATAAAATCACCAAACTGCGAACATATCTAGTAATTTATAAGACTTGTATTTTTAATTTGTTTAAATATTCTGTTTTTATTTTCAATTAAAAAAGAGTTTAGATATTCTGTTATGTTTTCAATTTAGAAATCATTTTATTAAATGCCAAGTGTTGATATTTGATATTTTTGTGTGGAAAATATAAGGCTTAATTTTGTCATTTTTTAAAAAAATTCAAATTAAATAGTTTTTAAATAAAAAAAGTAATGAAATAGTTTTAATAATGCATGCTTTTTTCATATGTATTTATTATTGGTATTTGACAATTTATTGATAATTTTTTGATTACGTTGAGTTGGATTGTTATAAAAAAAAATGTTGACAAATTATTGTATTATGTTCAAAATTTGTAAGAGTTTAAATCGCCAAACCGATTCACATTGATCCACTAATCTGCCAATCCGCTCAATCCGTATCCTTCAATTCGGCGAATGAATGGTGGATTAGAGGTTTTCCGGCTACAACTGAACCTCGAACACCCCTTGAAGGAAGTAAACATATAATATACAGAATTAAAAAAGAAAAAAAGAAAAAAAAGAGAACTTATACTTGTAGTTGTCAATATTTGTATTTATAATTGTGAACATTTATCTCACATCAATGTATTTTGTGTTTCATTTTTTCTGTGCACCTAAAATTTTCCTTTTAGTAATGATATATAAATAGAAATTTTTTAGTTTTTTTTTTAAATTTTATATATATATATATATATATAACGATGTATGTGAACCTTTCACTTTAAAACAAAACACATATAAAAATAAATTTATTTACAAAAATGATATTACCGTAATATTTTTGTAAATCGTTTTATATAAATTTTATTTATGAATAATTTTTTTTTTATTTTACCGTAATATTTTTGTAAATCGTTTTATATAAATTTTATTTATGAATAATTTTATTTTTTATTTTTTTATTTTCTGGTTGTCAATATAGCTAAAGCTTTGACTAGTTGTTATTCATGTGCAAAAACAAGAAAGACTAGTTGTTATTGGATTTCAGCCTGTCAAACTAATGACTGGCTACAACTTGTTTGTTTGAGCAACTTGTTTGTTTGAGCAATTTGATGTAACACTAATATTATGAATCTACAATTACCACCAAAAATGATTGTGTCTATTTGGGTAGGAGTTCTTTTTTTTTCTTTTTTTAAATGATTGTGTCTATTTTGATAGGAGGTCAATTGTTTAGCACTTTTTCTAATTTGTAATTATTTTTTAAAAATAAAAATAAAAATTAAAGTCGAAATATCAAATTAATGAACATTTCAAAAAAAATTACAAATCAATGATAAACTTAATAAATATTAATAATTAAAATTATAAAATTTATATAAATCTGTAATTATTTTTTAAATTGTTCACTGATTTGTAATATGGGAAATAACATATAAGTGAAAAGTGCAAAAAATAATTTCAAGTGCATGGAAAAGTTTATAAAATTTACTTTTAATGTTGTAAGATTTATCCTAGCCTCTGTTTGGCAAGTTGGATCTTGGGTTTTTTTGGCTATTTTAGTCACAAAAGACAAAATATGCTATTTTAGCATAACAAACAAAACATCACATCCAACCCATAATCATTACATTCTTTTCTCACAAAAAAACTCAAAAAAGCCAAAAAGCCAAAAAACCCTTCCCAAACCAAGCTTTTAAGCCCAGGCTAAAATAGCCAAAAAAACTAAAAAGCCAAAAAACCAACCCACTTCTCAAACGGTAATATGTAAATAATTTTTTTAAGTTACACAAAAATGAAATTTCCCGTGTGTGATTTTCCCAAAATTAAACTCTTGCAAAGCACACTACTATCCTTTTGAATGTCAAGTTGCCATTAAAAGCAAAAGTTTTCATCAAAATATAAAGAAAAAAATAAAGAAATCATATCCATATCCTAATATGATGAATATTGTTTGGGAAAAATAAGATAAAAACCATTTATTTTTCTCTTGTATAATCTAATTAATGAAGATGTATGAAAAATGACACTTTTCTTAGCTTGTCCCAAAACAAAACCAAAAAAAATTGTATTTCTCTTGATTTATATCGCTAGTTTGAATAGTAAAAATTAGAGAAATAAAGTGAAAATGGAAAGAAGTGGAAAATAAACTATTTCTCCGGCAGCCTCAATTTTGAATCTCTCCAAAAATTAACAGATTGTGAGAGAAAAAAACTAAATACTCCATATGTCTCAAATTGTTTGTTCGACATGAAAATGAGAATATAAAAATACTGTATCTCGGGTTGAAATTTATAATTTTTGTACCTACTATTAATTACTAAAAAAAATATAAAAATTTTAACACAGGAATAAATTGTTTTTTTTAAGTTTTTGTTTTCATACTAGACAAATAATTTGAGACAGAAATAGTACTGTTTTGTTATAATATCAAAAATCATTTCACATTAAATTTTTAGAGAGCTCATTTGAGAATTGATTATTTTAATTAATTTTTTAACTCTTTATAAAAATTAAAAAAAAAACTTTTTTAAAAGAAAAAAGAAACCGATGTGATAGTTGGTTGGCCTTTTTGGCCCCCCAAATAAATTGAAAGCATGCCATGTTTTCCATAAAAGAAGGCTCGTCTACGGTTCACAAAGTGGACTGGACGGTACTGTTAGATCTATAGAATTTATTACGGATCTTATTTTGATAATTTAAACAGTTATATAAAGTTCATTGAGTATTTTATTTTTGTAAAAAATTACTTTAATCAGATATTGATAATCCCTTGATCATAACATATTTTTGTTAACAATTTATTTTTAAAATCATATTTATCATTAAAAAAATATGCTCTGATCAAGGTTATCGATGTTCAACCAATGTAACTTTTTGTAAGAATGAAATTCTTGATGAGTTCTACTCATTAAACAGTTCGAATTATTGAAATGAGACTTATAGTGAGTTCTACGAGCCCAACAATACTGTTCAGTCTACTTTGTAGATTGGAGACAAGCCTGCTCCTTCATAAATAAATAAAAAATGAGGCTTATGTCTTATAATCTAGTAAAAAATTGGGAAACACTATGGAACACATTCCTCAAAAAGTGTATACTATATACACTTTATAATTAAAGAAGAAAATGACATAATTTACACTTTCTGAGTTATAACTAGAAAATAATATCATAATTAAACATAACATGAGGTACAAATAAAGAGCTCATGAGTTATAATTAAAACAATATCATAATTAAAAAAAACTAATCATAATTAAAAAATGAAAATAACATAATTATAAATGTATATGATATAGCCTTATGTTAGAATTTTCCTAAAAAAATCATTTATTTTCTTTTCCTGAGTCTCTTCAAACCAGACATTAGAGAAATGACACATATGGTTGATTTCAATTTTCTGAGAATTTTCCTAAAAAAATCATTTATTTTCTTTTCCTGAGTCTCTTCAAACCAGACATTAGAGAAATGACACATATGGTTGATTTCAATTTTCTGAATTTAAGGTTTGTGTGGAATGTGAGTTTGCTTTTTAGTTTTTTAGCTTTTTAGATATTTTAGCCTGTGATTAAAAAGTCTCGTTTGGGAAATATTTTTTGGTTTTTTAACTTTTGTAAAAGAAAAAATGAAATGATTATGTTTAGATGTGACATTTTGTTTTATTAGATTAAAAATCCTATTTTGTCTTTTTTGTGACTATTTGAGCAAAAAAAATATCATTTTAGCTTATGCCCAACGAAGGCTCAATTTTTTAGAAATTAATTTTTTTTTGTTTTTCATATTTTTTTATTTTTAGTAAATATTTTTTAAATTTTAAATAAATTTTTTTACTTTTTCAGATGCACTTTACTTAGATGTATCTAAATAGTAAAATATTTATAAAAAAATATTTTAAAAAATTAATAAATATAAAAAAAATATGAAAAATGGACTGAATTTTCAATTTTTGTTTATTTTATATTTTTGGTATTTAGTGAATTTTTTAACTATTTTTTCATAAATATTATACTTTTTAAATGTATTTATGTTAAGTATATTTAAAAAATAAAAAAAAAATTACTTAAAATATTAAAAAAATTAATAGAAACCAAAAAAAATAAAAAATTAAAAAACGACAAAAATAATTTTTTTTTAAAAATGAATTATAAAAATGGAAATCCGAGTGAATTATTTTCCACTACAATCTCCCTTGATTATTTTTATACTATTACTCTTCAAACCCCACTTATCTTTCCACTCTAATCTCCCTTGAGAATCCAATGACTATTTTCAAACCCAACACATCACATGGTTGAGAAACCAGAATGCTCTTTTTCATTTCTTACGAACCAAACAGACACTGATTTTGTCAAAGATGTGTTTGCTTTGACAACAAGAGAGAGACAGAGTGTGTAGAGAGAGAGAAACAATGATATGTATGTAGAGGGAGAAAGAAAAACAGGGGATGGAGAACGAAAGACAGAGGAAGCAGGGCTGACAAATGATGAAAGCGAGAGAGAGAGACAAAACTCCCACCGTATATTCTAGATAGAGAACCATTACGAGGCATCTATCTCCTAGTTTTGAAAAGAATTGTATACTAAAATTTGAAATTTGGAGTATTTGATTCCAAGTTTTGAAAAGAAAGAGTTGATTGATCATTCAGAGAGAGAGAGAAGAGAAGTGGGTATTGAGTAATTTGATGGCTGAGATTGGATTACAAGGAAAGCTTCTAAGTGCAGTGGTAGCCATTGTTCTTCTACTTCTTCTTCTTCATTCTTTTGTGTTTGTTTCCACAGAAAGTAGCATGAAACAGGACTTTCCAAGCAAAGAAAATGGAACTATTCAAGAGATTGATCCGAATTACTTTAAACAAATACTCAAATTCTTATTGCAAAAAGGTCAAGTGGGTTATGAGCATGTTTGGCCGGTAAGTTTTTTTTTTTTTTTTGAGTTAATTTCTAAGATCCCTCAACTATTAAAGAATATATTTTTATTGTATAAATACAACCTTTAAAGGTATTCTGAAAAAAAATGAATATATTTTTATAATTGAGGGATCAATACGTACTAATTTATAAATAGAAAGTAAAGTAATATTAGTTAATAATTAAGATTTCTTATAATTAACCCAAAAATAAACTGTTCTAAGAGATTCAACATGATGTTAAAGTGGCTGGTTTAAATTTGTTTATTTGATTTGTGAAATTGCAATTGACAGGAAATGAAATTTGGTTGGAAAATCATAGTGGGGACTGTAGTTGGCTTCTTTGGAGCAGCATTTGGGAGTGTTGGAGGTGTTGGTGGTGGAGGAATTTTTGTTCCAATGCTTACTCTAATCATTGGATTTGATGCCAAATCATCAGCTGCAATGTCAAAATGTAAGTGTTGCAAACATAAATTTTATATATAAAACTTTATCAGCATAATGTGGTAATGACAGTTTTTAAAATAATAAGTTAATTTAACAAATTTTTTAATTTTTAATGACTTGATACAAATCCGTTACGTAATTCTGTATAGATTTGTTACATATTATTGCTCATAAGTTTCCACAATCATGGATGCTGAAGTTTCCCATGGAGATTATTCAGATTCCTTTTTAACTTTTTTTTTTTTTTTTTTTGGTGGTAGGGATCAAAATTTCCTTGTCATTCTGTCCCCGTCTCAATATGTTTATAATCGCACGATGTGATAAAAATCTCGAAGCAGGAGAATATGAGGTACAATAGTTTGACGGAAGTACATTGGAATAGAGGAATTCAAAATTTTAAGAACGGATCCTTGCTGAGTTTTTTTTAATTTTTTTGCACACAAAAATAAATAAATAAATAAAATTTACAGGTTAGAAGGTTGTAATAAGAGCATAGCTAACAATATGGGGGTGTGATACACTTAGGTGTGGGTGACTATTGAATCTTAAGATAGAGGGGTGTAATACAAAATGGACTAAGGAGAGATTCAAATTAATTAATTAAATTGTAAAATTGATAGAATTTTATCAATCTTGCATCATAATCTTGAGTCAATCAAAACACGGGATGTGATACACTATTCAAAAGGATTGATAATCTTTGAACTAACAATCTTTGGAATGTAAATTGTTGTGCCCAAAGCCCAGAAACAAATGCAAATAATTCACCCACAAACAAACAAACAAGTTTTATGTGGTTCGACAATGCGTCTACGTCAATAGGCAACGAATTTTACTAATTTCGAAGAGAGTACTAAACAAATACAAATACAAATACAACAATGGAGGAGGAGGATCTCACCTCAATTAACTCACATTTTCTCTCTGATATCTACATCTTTGCTGCTGTTCAAACCCATCACATGCACTCCCATTTATACACAAACCGGGAGAGCTAAAGTCAAGCTTGACCACCAACAACCAACAAGCTTGCCGACAACCATCCTACTCAACATTTAGCTCGGCTGAACCAGATTTACAAAATCCATAGCTCACTTCTTTTTCTTCACTACACAACCAATTTTGACTTTAATGGAGAAGTTGAGCCAACAATCAACAAATCTCCATCTTGACAAGGATTCTCCAACTCCAAAACAACCAAGTCATGCAAACTTGAACAACCAAACAAGTGATTCAAAGCAAACACAAACCAATGCCAAACAAACCAAAAACCAATTCTGACGGGTAGTGAATTTTCCTAAATGAAGCAAATGAGTGTGCTCAAACAAAACCAAACCACACCAAACAGCAGATTCAAGAGCTCGAGACATATGGAGTCAATCCAAACAGATTGCAGAACAAAACGAAATAATTCTTTCAGTTTTTCTGCAACACATTCCAAACTCCATATTCCACCATGGTGCCAAATTCCAAATTCCAAATGCAAAACCAAAGGAGCCAACCAAGTCATACTCAATAACTACAAACAAAACCATGGTGAGCAAACCACTTGAACCAATGTTGAGGAGACCAATCCAAAATCAATAGGAGGCTTCAAATTCCCCTTCCAAGCAACTCTGAAAGTGGGTACCAAATTCAAACTTCAAGTTTGATCAATATCAAACACAAGTATGCTTTTACGAGCTCGAACCAAACAAATTCTAAGAGAACCAAAGTGGGCTCTTATCCAAACAAACCAAACATATTAAGCTTTAACCAAATTCTGAAGTATGAAGCAAACTCTAGATTCCAATTCAAACTTCACATTTCAAATGGCAGACAAAAAATGTCCAACCATCTTCAAAGTTGTCACAAATTGCCCAAAGGCACATGCACCAAAGGTGCCTAATTCCAATAGTCCTAATTGACTCAACTAAGTCTGCAAACGATCTATCTCCTCCAAATCCAACGACAGATTGGGGGATGGATCCAAATATAACAAGAAAGCTACGAATTTTCCAAAACTTTCCTTCCACAATGATGAGATTCAAAATCACCATCATCAAGTTTTTCCTCAACAATCTTATCTCCAATCTTCAATAAACATCAACGATCACAACACTTCAGTGGAAGCAAAACAAACGAAGCCTGATTCATCACCTAGACTACCAATAGTTGATGTCTTCGAATATGGAGTTGAAGAACAATGCAAACGATGCAAATCAATGAGAGGAAGAAATGATCACAAGTCTCACGAAATAGGAGGCATCAATGGATCTAATCAAGCGCAACCATAGATCTAAATGAGATTTAAAAATAATCTTTGCAAATCACAACTTCAAAGAAGTAGCCAAGAATCTATGAAAGACTGCCAAAACAATGCCTCCAAGAGGTTGCAAAAGAATGCCAAAGCTCTACCAAAATCTGAAGTAGATTGCTACAAAATCTTCTCTAAATCGACAAATGCAGATCTTTCAAGATCAACAAATGCGGATCCACCATAGAGGATCACCAAGTAACCAAAGGTTACACCAAAGATTTGAAGGTCTACCACTAGGTGGACAAAATTTATCACCCCTTCACCCATATGGGGTGATCCAAAGCCATTGTGCAATCAAATTCCATCAGTCCGCCATTCAAATTTTCCATTCCAAACAATATGCAATATTTCTCCAACTTTTTCAGGGATCAAATTAAAATTTCTCAAATTTTTAGGGGTTAAACTGAAAATTTCAAAAATAACTGGGGCCAAATTGCAATTTATCAAAAATTTAGGGGTAAAAATGCAATTTCACTAAAAATTAGGGCCAAAATACAAATTTATGAAATTATTGATGATGTGGTAGGTATGCGGACGTGCCATACATGTGGCACTGATTGGGCTACTGACTAGGCGCTGATTGGGCTGATGGCTGATGCCATCCCTGCAAATCTCAATTTCTTGGGAAGACGATGAATGCTATATACGCGCTGAATCTTTTAGTAACTATGTGGGTTCATTCGGACACCGTTTGAGTTGTTCTTTATGCCGTCGGAATCCTCTCGACGAGACGAACCTCTTGGTGTATTGAAAAGTTGATTCGACAACTTCAAATTTTGGGCAATTTCAAAAAACAAAGCAAATGAAACTCTGTTTCGCAACAAATGCACAAACAATGCTCTGCTCTGATACCAATTGTTGTGCTCAAAAGCCTAGAAACAAATGCAAATTATACACCAACAAACAAGCAAACAAGTTTTACGTAGTTTGACAATGCGCCTACATCGACGGGTAGTGAATTTTCCTAATTTCTAAGAGAGTACAAAATAAATACAAATACAACAATGGAGGAGGAGGATCTCACCTCAACTCACTCACACACAAACACAAATTTCTCTCTGATATCTACATCTTCGCTGCTCCTCAAACCCATCACATGAACTCCCATTTATACACAAAATGGGAGAGCTAAAGTCAAGCTTGGCCACCGACAAGCCACCAACAAGCTTGCCAACAACCACCCTACACAACATCTAGCTCGGCTGAACCAGATTTATGAATCCATAGCTCACTTCTTTTTCTTCGCTACGCAGCCAATTTTGACTTCTACGGAGAAACTCAGCCAACAATCAACATTAATCTCATCTAATCCAACCCACCCAAACAAACAAACACTTAATGAATGAATAAGTTTGTTTCTATGCAACCCATGGGGGTTTGGCCAGCGGTAAAGACTTGAGAATGAGATCCAAGGTCTTGAGTTTGAGTCCCCCAATGGGCCTCCAATTGTTAACTTCAAGGCCCCATGATTAGTCGAGGTGCGTGCATACTAGTTCGGACACCTAGTTATCAAAAAGAAAAAGAAAGAAATGTTTCTGTCTTTGATTCTGCATAGCTCACTCCTATACATCACTCCACACTGAAAATTAGAAACAAACACAGATCTGAAACTGTGTGCCTTTGTTTGCTACCCATTGAAAATTAGTGAAAACACAGCTGAAAATGGTCATTCTGTTTGCTTTGTAGGTATGATAGCAGGTGCAGCAGCTGCAAGTGTTTTCTTCAACCTCAAGCTAAGGCATCCTACTCTTGACCTACCCATCATCGACTATGACCTCGCCCTTCTCTTTCAACCAATGTTGGTGCTTGGAATTAGCATCGGAGTTGCTTTTAATGTGATTTTCGCGGACTGGATGGTTACCGTCTTGCTCATTATTCTGTTTTTAGGTAATAATCCTTCCAATTTCTGGCTTTGCCTCTGTTCTCTTCTCCAACAATCTTCTTTACCGGTCAGGATTATCTGCAGGCACATCAATTAAGACATTTTTCAAGGGTCTTGAGACATGGAAGAAAGAAACTATAATAAAAAAGGTAGTGATCTCTATTTTCACAGTAGTTTGTTATGTAATGCAAATATTATTGATCTCTTGTCTCACTTATTTTTTATTTCCAGGATGCTGCTAGACTCTCGGCATCTAATGGTTAGTTTGTCCTGCCCCCTCTTCAATCCTAGAATTTCGAAGAATTAATCCCTGTTAGGTTAATTTTGTATAAAGTTTTGATTCGATCCAAATCATTTTTAACGCTGTAATCAGATGGTGGTAGTGAAGAAGCAGAATACAAACCTTTACCTGGAGGCCCTAGCAATGGCACTCAAATGGAATCCAATGAATCTAAAGCACCAGAGGTAATGTGCAGAAAAATCAACGTGTATATTTGTGACTAGTTGTCACGAGGGCTGACTATTGTAGTGTTCCCAGGTTTCTATTATCCAAAATATTTACTGGAAGGAACTTGGTATTCTTTTTGCTGTCTGGGCCATTATCCTTGCTCTACAGATTGGCAAGGTTTCTATTTGTTTTATTTTTGTTTTTCTTCAAACATTTTCATTGACAATATTTTTTATTTTTAAAGCAAAGGTACTGAGAAACTATTTGTGTTTGACACAGAATTACACAACAAGCTGTTCTGCAGCATACTGGGTACTGAATCTGTTGCAGGTAATTTATGTTGCTCAAGTAAGAGTTAAAAAGGCCTACATATGTGATCATTGCTCATCAAGATGAGTGGTTTTCTTTTTCCTTTTGTGGTTTTTTCAGATCCCCGTGGCTGTTGGGGCATCTGGATATCAAGCAATAAACTTATACAAAGGGAGGAGAGTAATAGCATCCAAGGGAGAGGAAGTAACAACTTGGCGAGTGCACCAGTTGGTTCTTTACTGTAGCTGTGGCGTTCTGGCCGGGATAGTTGGTGGGTTGTTAGGTCTTGGTGGTGGTTTCATTCTGAGTCCTCTGTTTTTGGAGTTGGGAATCCCTCCTCAGGTGCATTTCATGCTTTCCAATCAACTGTAGTTTATGTTTGATCTTAAAATGATCACCTATGAAGCACGGACACGGATACATAACACAACACGAACATGGAGACATGCAAATTTTTAAAAAATAGGGGACACGATATGCTGGGGATACGTTCAATACATATAATCAAATTTATTTATTATATGTCATAAAATTATTTTTTTTTAAAAAAAGCATTAAAAGATAATACAAAATAGTACTATTAAAATTATAAAAAATAAACATTTAAAAATACAAATAACATATTATTGCATTCCATCAATATAAAAAAAATTATTAAAGTTCAAAATAGAAGAGAGAGAGAGAGAGAGAGAGAGAGAGAGAGCTGATGATTTACACTGACTGACCATATAAAAGAAAAAAAAAAAGGAAAACAAAATAAAAGCTCAAATTAAAGGAGAAGAGAGAGAGAGAGAGAGACTACGAGAGAGAGAGAGAGAGAGAGAGAGAGAGAGAAGATCGAAGAAGAAGAACGAAGAAGAGTAGCGAAGTGTACCTTAGATAACTGCAACAGCAGCGAGTGACGACCACCGATGAGCGACGAAAGACCACTGACGACTAGGTTTCTCTCTGTTCTCTCTTTCTCTTCTGTTTTCTCTCTCGATTTAGGGTTAGATATTGTTTGGTTTTTGTGTTTTACAAATTGACCCCCACAGAAGTTTCATAAATTATGAAATTGACCCCAAACGTGTCCCGATCGTGTCCTCTACGTCTCCACTATGTGTCCGACTGCCAAAAAATCAAAAAAAAAATCAAACACTCTCTACTGCATGTTGGACATGTGTCCACCGCGTGTCCATGCCCGACATGTGTCTCACACTGATACGCAGCCCTCAGAGAGGTCTTCGTGCTTCATAGGTGATCACCTCTCCATATATGTGGACATTGGGTCAAAATTTGAGCAAACTATAAAAAAGAAATTAATTCACTCCACTAATACTGCTTAGAAACCCTAACCTCCAAGAAAAGAAGAAAGTGGATGAGTTCTTTGATCGTATTTATTGAGAAAGCTTTTAATATCATGAAAGATCATCGAGTTCAAGTTAAGAAACTCACTTTAGTATATAGATTGTTTTATGATCGCTATCTTTGGTAACGCTAAAAATGTTAAATATGTTTTCATAATATTTTTCACATTTTATTCTGATAGAAATCAATGTCGTAGTTTATACCTTCTTTGTTTTAAAAAAAAGTTAATTATATATATATATATATATATTTGCAGTGTCTACATTAAAAATTCCCGATCCATCCCTGTGTATATCCTCTTCAATAGCTAGCAACTAGGGCTTTTCCTATTAATGGCAGTCACGGGAGATGACTGACTAGTTGAGCACATTCTTATGCAGGTGTCAAGTGCCACAGCTACCTTTGCCATGCTGTTCTCCTCATCCATGTCAGTCGTTGAATACTACCTTCTCAAGCGTTTCCCAGTTCCATATGGTTAGTCTTCCTATCAAATTTCTTATTTTGGAAGGATTGAGGTGTTGTTTGTTTGGCAACTTTGTCAATTTTTTCTCCTCTTTAGAGAAAACTAAAAACAATGTTTTTGTTTTCATCTTGTCCGGAGAGATTAAAACACACATATTTGGTTGTTGTGATTGTGCAGCTCTCTACTTTGTTGCAGTGGCTACCATTGCAGCCTTTGTAGGGCAACATGTGGTGAAAAGAATAATCACCATTCTAGGGAGGGCATCTTTGATCATCTTCATTCTGGCCTGCACAATTTTTATTAGTGCAATCTCATTAGGCAAGTTTTATTTTTTTGGATTGATTGTGTTTTCCTAGGAATTATTATTATTATTATTTTGACTTTTTCTTGGAATTTAAGGGTTGATTATTTTGTAACAGGTGGTGTTGGCATAGCCGAAATAATTGACGAGATCGAGGAGAAGGATTACATGGGTTTTGAAGACATCTGTTCGTATTAACTTTAGGGGTATATTTGTGTTGGAAAAGATAAGATTCTTAAGATAAGTGGTGAGATAATAGGATCCACAAGATAAGATTCATAGTGTTTAATCTCCCTTACCTTTCTGGCCTGAAATTTTGTCAATTTGTCAAGATCTCAAGCATTAAAGACTAACAATTTTTTTTTTTTTTTTTTTTTTTTTTTTTTTTTTTTTTTTTTGGAGAAGAGCAGGAACATCGTTCCATTATTTGGGGCGTGAATGAAGTTCGAATCTGAATTTTATGCCTAATAAATTTTTTTCCTTCTCACTGAGATGGGAAATGGGAGTAATTATCCTATATTCTTGGAACACCATGTTGATTATGTATCCGTCCATATGTTTATAAAATTTCATTAATTAAGCATACAATTATGTGATATCTAGACCCATGTGATAATTTCTGTTGGGTTTTCCTTGACTTCTGTTGTGTGCCTTGGATCAATGACGGGTCATTTTGGTATACAGTTTTTAATTTAAGTTCCATGTTTCGCATTAAATTTTGCCATAGCACTGAAAATTTTCACACTTTCTTTCTATGTATAGGAATATGAAAATGAAATATGTGGTGTAGACTTTGAACAAGGGTATTTGGTGGCTTCTCTGACATTTTTCCATCATGTGTCTTCATCAGAGCTCAAAAGGCTCAGGTAGCCAATTAAGGTGCAAGACATCAGGAAACCAACTGTTGTGAGATTGTGATTTAGACCTTGGGTGTTAAATGGTTTATGTGAAAGCACATTCAACCATCAGTTCATCATTTGAAGGGTCCCATTTTGAGAAACTATCAAAAACAACTTGTGATGTAACTTGTCTATATTTCATTCAACATGATTGTTAGTCCCAAAGATTTTATTGATCATAACTTTTGATGATAAAATTTTAAAAAGTCCTGTTAATGACATTTTAAAAAGTTGTCAACAAGAAACACAAAATGACAAAATATTTATAATCGCAATATACTTTTCACATTCACTTGGGAACGTGAGTTGGAAGTCCGTGAGAAATATCCGGACTTATTTGTTGATATGTAATTTTGTGTTTAAATTTTGAACAATTGTTGAACTTAAGAGCTTTCATATATGTCTTAAGTTGTGAAACATTGAAAATGTTTTGGTTTATTGGAAGTATGTTTTGGAACTTGCCTCGTATGGAAGTTGAATGTGACACTATAAGTGTTGAATATATTGTTGAAATTGGAAAGATAATGAGTAATGTTAATGCATGTTGAAAGTACATATGTTGTTTTCATATTGTGAAATGTCTCTTGTTAAAGGGATGGGATGACCGGTAATGGGTCGAATTGTTAAATGTTAAATTGTAACATTGTTTAAAATTGGAGGAAAACTTGTTTTGAAAACTTGTGCTTAATTTCGGGGACGAAATTCTTTAAGGGGGGGAGGTTATAGCGATCCCGGGTTTACCCTTGTTGTACAGTGATCCGGACATGTGTCCGTAGATGTTGGTAGTTGTTTATTATCTTGTTTACATCCTTTCTTACTATAGGATGTGTTGAGCAGGTTTGTTGCAGGTTGGTTGTGTTTGGGAGCCAAGTGTTGCTGCCCAGAATTTTGGACCTTCGCTCGAGCGAGGAGTTGGTCGCTTGAGCGAGAGTTGAGTTCGTGTCTGGTGGGTCGAGCCAGGGTGGCTTCGCTCGAGCGAGCGCTTGCACCTGGTTCTGGACCTGAGAGTTGCATTTCTTGGCTCGAGCGGTCTGGTTTGTTCTTCGCTCGAGCGAGAGGTCTGTTGCTCGAGCGTGCTTTTGGTTGCAAACCTGAAGGTTTGAGTTGTTGGCTCGAGCGAGCATTCTTTCGCTCGGTACGCTCGAGCGTAGGGTTGGGAGCTCGAGCGGAAGTCCTGGTTCTGCAAAAGTGCTGGGCGAGTGCATTCTGCGCTCGAGCGGGAGGTTGGCCGCTCGAGCGGAAGTCTGTGTGTGGCCGCTCGAGCGGGGTGTTTTACGCTCGAGCGGGCGACTGGGTTTAAGTCCCGAAATTATGACTTTTCAAGTCACTTTTTCACTTTCTCTTCTCTCTCTTACTTTTCCAAAGTCACCATTGTTGAGCCTCTCACTCTAGACTCTACCTTCTCTCTAGGTTTTGATCTAGTAGGAGTGATTTGCTCATCTTTGGCCTTTACAAAAAAGTTGTTGATCGTCGAGGGCTACTTTTTAATCTGAAAATTTCGGGTTTTGGAGCACGTTGGGTTTTTTCATCTTCTTCTTTGGGGCTCCGGATTTGAGGTAGGGATATCCTACTCCTCTCTATGGATTTTGTCTTTAAATTTTGGTATTTTGAGATGTTGGGGTTGGTTTGGTAATTTTGTGAAAGTTTGGGGACTTTTGTGTAATTTTACAAAAGTTGGGGTTTTATTCATAATAAACCTGAATGCATGTTTGGCATAGAGAAATGGAATAAATGTTAAGCCATTGATGAAAATGGGACTTAAGGGTTGAAATGTTAATTATGGAAATTGACCTAATTACATTGTTTAATTAAATGGGATAATTAATTGAGAAGAATGAGGAAAATGAAATGTTGATTGAATATCCATTGTGCATTTATTTTCTGTTTAGAAATAACTGCTTTGGGCTATCGGTGGAGGATAGTCGTGATTGTTGTAGACAATGCATGATGATTAGGCAAACTGAAACTAATAAATGAGGTGTGTCATGGAACTTGACGGTTGATAGAATACATTAACTATATGTACTAAATGATTGTATATAGAACCAATGTGTTTGTATACGTTATGTGTAGAGGAGGAGATGGGGGATGTACTCCGCGGTTTAGGGGAAGATAGGGGATGTACCTCTAAACCGGATAGTGTTAGGAGAAGATAGGGGATGAACTCCATAGATACAGCTCATATGCTTGTCTAGACAAGTGAAGATAGAGCTCATATGCTTATCTTTGTGAAGTGTGGATATAGCTCATATGCTTATCTGTGGATATTGTTGTTATACATATCTGTTGTGGAATGTGGATATAGCTTATTTGCTTATCTGAGAGTGTGGATATTGTTGTTATACATATCTGTTGAGAATGTGGGTAGTGCTTATATGCCTATCCATTGAAAAAGGGAAAAAAATGAAAGGAAACTTGGACTCATAAGTCGTATGACATAAATATGTGATTTATGTGATGTCGATATCTTTTCAGGTACAGGAAGCATGCCACCTCCAAGGACATAGCTTGGGAGGCTAGAGGCGGACATACTTTTTATCATTTACTTTTGATGTATTACATGTAAATTCAAGCCAAGGGCTTAATGTGTATGAGTTAGTACTCTTTTGTTGTAACCAAGTGTTAACTTGGAAAGCTGTAAGCCTGTAGGGCATTTGCTTTTATTGTTAACATGTAATACTTTTTGTAATGAAACTCTCGGAAATGAAAGAATGTGGAACTTTTTGTATATAATTGCATGTCTTCTTTAATGGGTTAACGTTATTATTTTGAGGGCGTTACATTAAACTTGCTAACAATATTTTTAAGTAAAACACTTATCATGAGTTCTTTAGTTTCATAGAGATGAATTAAAATTGATTAAATCTTATTCATGCAATTGAGAACTCAATCAAAATTTTTGGAGGTTGCTAATTCTTGAATTATGTAAACTGCCGCTTGAAATTTTTTTGGGGATTTTCAGAGGACGGGGTAGAAGTGTTGGACTTCTTGTTTTCTGGTGTTCACCTTCGTTTAGTAAATCATTAGAGATTTAAGTATCGACCCCTCTCTTGAAGGCGTCAACTCTATGATAAAAAAAAGTCAAACGTATTTCAACCACAATATAAGTTATCGACTCCTCTACAAAAGTGAGACAGCCTTGTTTGGGAATTTCAAATTTGGCAAGCACACGATACTTTTCTAAGCTTTTGCATTTAATGCTTCCCAACTACCTCAAACATTCAAAATTTATTGAGGAAATATATAAGAAAGATATCTATACACATTTGAACAACTATTGAATCACATAACTATAGACTCCCTATTTTGATCGGCTTTAAGACTTGAACACCTTCTCTAGGCACTCGATGATGAAAATCTAGAAAGCGTGTTACCCTTTGATTTCTCCAATAGATAGCTCAATCTTAAGGTGGATCCCAACCTTTCACCTGTTTTAACCAAATGTTTTTAAACCATTAAATCCATTTTTCAAAATGTTTTTAGCCATGTGTAAATCCAATCATTGTTTATGATGTTCAAGCTCATCTTTCAAATCAAAATGATAGGACTTTTGGTAACCAAGCAAGAACAAAATAGGAATGAGTGGAAAGGAGGAGAATCTCCGAGAAAAATCTTGGATAGTGTTTGGTAAAGTTTTCTAAATATGATTTGAGAATAGAGTTGTATTTTGAGTTTGCGAGTTTTGAAATTATGATTTGAGTATGGAAAATTTGTTTGGTTATGAGTTTTGAAAAAAGTTTTGAATTGAGTTTGAAATAAATGACGTGACATATGATATTTAATTCAAAAACTTATAACCCATAACTAAACACATAACCCAAAATCATATTCAAATCTCATAAAAAAATTTTTAAAAAAATCTGGAAATATTTTTTATTTAAAATATAAAAATAATTGGTACAAAAAAAAAAATTGAACATTATTCTAGTCAGTCTCCGAGAAAAATCTTGGATAGTGTTTGGTAAAGTTTTCTAAATATGATTTGAGAATAGAGTTGTATTTTGAGTTTGCGAGTTTTGAAATTATGATTTGAGTATGGAAAATTTGTTTGGTTATGAGTTTTGAAAAAAGTTTTGAATTGAGTTTGAAATAAATGACGTGACATATGATATTTAATTCAAAAACTTACAACCCATAACTAAACACATAACCCAAAATCATATTCAAATCATATTCAAATCTCATAAAAAAAATCTGGAAATATTTTTTATTTAAAATATAAAAATAATTGGTACAAAAAAAAAAAATTGAACATTATTCTGGTCAGTCGGCCGGACGTCCGGGTTAGTCAAATTTTCCCGCCTGGAAATGAGTTTTCAAACGTAGATGTTGTAGACCCCCGGAACTCTACTCCGCGCGCGAGTGCGCGAATTGTAGTTCTTAGTTACTACAGTTCGAACTCCTGTCACGGTTCTGAATCTAATCTCACAAAGTGCAATGTAAGACTCATAAATCACCAAAGAGTCCAAATCCGGCAAATCATTTTGGAAAATCGATTTTAATCAAAAAGCGCCAAATATAGACTGCTTTGCCAGATTTTAGAGTCGCCACCTAAATATTTTGTTTTAGAAAATTTAGGAAACCCTGACTCGTGCCTAAGGCCACGTGTCCGTCATCACCAAAATTGCCTTGGCTCGGGAACTTGGGTACGAGAAGGAAAGGTCATATCATGAGCACTCCCACTCGCCCGATCAAAGATCGGCCTCTACTAACATGATATGTCGTTTTTGAAAACACATGTGTTCTTATTCCGATTCATTAGCTAACCTTACTATGTGATGTGCACAACATACAAGTATAGACTAAATCGCTCAAGTTGGAACAAAACATCTCATGTTTGTTTTTTGAAAATGGTTTGAAGTTGCTACTAGCAAGTAGGCTAAGACACGGATTTTACCACCCTCAAGTGGGCTTAGAAAAACATGGTGATTTGCCACTTCAAGTGGACTTAAAACTCGCATTTTGATGAATTGTTCCAATTCAAGCAATCCAGTCTTCATTCACAGGCATTCATGCAGTTATAGCAATTAAGCAAATAGTCTCATGGCAAGCATGCTAAACATGGCAACATACACATCTCATGCAATATGCTAAAGCGTAAACACTTACAGTGTACTCCGAGCCAAAGAAAGAAGCTAATTAGAAATCATGCATGAATCCTAAC